AAAAGTAACTATCATTGTCTTATGCATGTCCATGCCCTTCGCTTTTAGTGACATGTGCATTTTTAAATGCATCTAGTTATGGCTATAGTAAGACACTCAGTACCTACTCTAATTGAATGAATAGGGAATCCAATTTAAAAGGACCAGTAGTTGAGAAACTCCGGCAGTAGTCCAGGTATGAGATAAAGGTGTGGTGGTGGTGGAAAGATTGGAAATATCAGAGCTGCTCTATACTTCCTCTTGGAGTCCTAGTGTAGCTCTATAGGATAAACACTGGACTGCTAACCTTGAGGTCAACAGTTCAGAATCCTAGGAAACCCTGTGTTGTGGTTGTTGTGAGGTGCCATCAAGTTGGTTCCTACTCAAAGCAACCCTGTGCACAACAGAATGGAGCCCTGCCCCGTTCTGTACCCTCCTCACCGCTGCTGTTGTGAGGAGACTATTGCTGCTGCCAGTCCATCTTGTTGGGGGGCTTCCTCTTTTTCTCCGACCCTCCACTTTACCAGCCATGATGTCCTTCCTTCTCCAGGGACTGGTCCCTCCTCATAACATGTCTGAAGTATGAGAGATGATGTCTGGCCATCCTGGCTTCTAAGGAGCATTCTGACTGCACTTCTTCCAACACAGATTTGTTTGGTCTTCTGGCAGTCCATGGTACTTTCAGTATTCACCGTCTCTAAATGCCTCAATTCTTCTATACAGGGTTGCTTAACAACAACAGCAACACATACTTCTCAAGTTAAGAAACGAAGACCACTGATAGTCATTCCCATTTTAAAGATGACAGAACCGTGTTTCTGAGAGCTTTAAGCAATCAGCCCAGGGTCACTCAGTAGTAAAATAGCAGAGCCTGACTTTGTACTTTGCTTGCCTGATCCAAGGAAAGGCCTACGGTTGTCATATAGCCTTTGTCATGTATATTGTCCTACATCCCTTCTCTTTATTGTTTTTTAGGTGCTGTCCGTCCGTCCGGTCCATTCAGACTCAGAGCGGCTCTGTACAGGACAGAATGAAACACCTCCTGGTCCTACATCATCCTCACAATCATTCTGTATTGGAGGCTATTATTGCAGCTACTCTTTCAGTTCATCTTGTTGAGGATCTTCCTCTGTTTCACTGACCCTCTACTTTACTAAGCATGGTGCCCTTCTCTTTAAATGAATTCTGCCCTCTTTTTTAGTTGGTTTTCAGTGGATTGAATTTCAGATGATTTCTTAATCCAGCGAAGAGGTCTTCTGATAGGCGGCATTACATAGTGGCCCAGAGCTTAAAGAGTTGGTGGTTGAACTGATTAGATTGTTGCTGTCAGGTAGCATAGAGTCGGTTCTGTGCAGCAGAACGAAGCACTGCGCAGCCCTGCATCATTTTCACACTCATTACTATGTTGAGTGCATTGTTGTAGCCACTGTGTCAGTCCATCTCAATGAGGGTCTTGCTAGTTCTTCCATGACCATTGTCTTTACTAAGCATGATGTCCCTTTCCAGGGACTGGTCCTACCTTAGACCACGTTCAAAGTACGTGAGACAAAGTCTGGTCATCGTCGCTCCTATGGAGTGTTCTGGTTGTGCTTCTTCTGCAGCATTGAAGTCTTCAGAGAAACAAGGATTCTTCTGGAAGAGGGGAATCTCTGTTTGGACTCCTGGTGTGGCGCTGTAATATGAGCATTGGACTTCAAGCCATAAGGTTGGCAATTCAAACCCATTAGCTGCTCCTTGGAAAACCTGTACAGGGTCACTATGAGTTGAAATCACCCGATGGCACTTAACAATGACAGTCTCTCTTTAGGATTCTAGTGGTTCCGTACAATAATCACTGGACTGAGAACTACAAGATCCACGTTCGAGTCCGCTAGCCACTCCGTGGGAGAAAGATGAGGCTTTCTGCTCCAGCAAAGATTTCAAGGCTTAGAAACCTGATACAGGGTTGCTATGAGTTGGAACCGACTTGACAGCACTTAACAATAACAACAAAATCAAGACAGTTGCCTGCTGTCTCAGTTCCCTGCCGCTGACTTGCCGTGAACGCTACTTTAAAGAACAGAAACGTATTGCCTTTCAGTTTTAGAGGCTACGTGTCTAAACCACGGCACTGGATCTAAGGGAGGGTTCTTCACTGCTGGCAGCCTCAGCTAGGTTTCTTGGCCTGTGGGTGCATAGTCACATGATTTCTTCCCCTCTGTGTGTTTGTCTTTGTGTGTGCCTGTTCTGCTGTTTTTATAGACACTACCCAGAAGTGGTCAGGTTTAGTACTCACGCTAACTCTGGTTGTTGTTGTTAAGTGTCGAGTCAATTCTGACTCATGACGATCCTGTACAGGGTTTCCAAGGAGCAGCTGGTGGGCTTGAACCGCCGAACTTGTGGTTTGCAGTCCAGTGTTGATTCTCCAGCATCACAACAGGGGTTCCTAGTAAGATCTCATTAGAATAAGAAAACAGCTTTTTCTAATCAGGGTCCTGTTTACAGGCACTTGGGTCAGGATTTCAGCACAACATTTTTTTTGTGTGAATTATGTGATAGTTTACATGGGAGAACATTAGCTTTACATTCATCCTATCGTATATCGTTTTATTGCCATGGTTACAATCCGCTCCATACATCATCAATCAACCCAAGGGTGTACCCCGCAAGCCTGACCCCTGCTCATCAGCACACAGACCCTCTCGCTCTCTGTGTCTAAAGTCCCCAGCCACTCCATCTCTCCATGTCATCATCTCTGCCTCCGTCTCCGGCGTCACTGTTTCTCTGGATAGGGTCCCGCACTCAGCTCTTCTACCTGGATGGTCCCAGGACCTCCGCTCCTAGACTGCAAAGTCAACCACTCGCCTCCTTTTGCTACAAAACGTCTACCTTTACATTTCCAACCCTCACAGTCAGTCCTGATAGTAATTATTCACCATTGTACAACATGAGAGCCATCTACATCTCCTTTGATCAGCCCTGCCAAGACACATTGGATGCTACTCCATGGAGATTCTGCCTTCCTGAGCACCCTCTGAATCTACGCTCCCTCTTAAAAGCTTGTAAGCCAGTCACTTCTTGCCTTTGTAGCCCCTCCCCACTCCTTTTTGGGTAGCTAATGTCCAAGTTGCCCATCCCTGTCTACCCAGTGATTGAGGGGGTGGGAACGATCATCGCTGAAAAGATTTGTTCCTCTTTTGAGCTACTGCATCCATAGGTGTAGGTCAAGTTCATCAAATTGTATCAGATTACTCTTTTTTTTTTCCCTCTTCTTTCTTCTTCTAGTTGAGTTCTGATCATCCAGACATTGAAGCCAGGTCAAGTGGGTGTTACCTGCAAGTGTGGGTATTCTTGTGTATGTGCCCTCTCTTCTTATCAGCTGGATACTTCACTCTCCACTCTAGTCCTCTGTGTCTATGTCACTGACACTGAACCCAAAGTCCCCAGATCTTGCCACACTGCTGGCCAACCAGGTCTCCACCCAGGTTCACAGGAGTCTATTGAATGTGATAGCGCTTAGCTCGCAGCTTCATTGCTTTTTTTCCCCTCATTTCCCCTTATCGGTGACCAGTCAGAGCACATGTCTGCTCATGTATTCCCATTGAGTCTTAGGCTTATAAGGGGATTTGCCCTGAGGGTGAGCAACTTGCTTGTTCTTGTAGTAGTCAGACTGTCATTATTGTTTTGTATTTATCCTGTCCATCTTTCTTTCAAGATGTATCTTCTGTTCTTCTAGCTACTCCAGGCTGGTCTGCTTATCCTTTCAAGTGGAAATTTCCCACCTCAGAAGATTCTGGATGGGATTCAGGATTCCACCTATGGTCTTATACAATGCAAAGACTCCGCAGGAAGTTGCCTTCACTGGGCATATTGTAGCCCCATTTTAGGTATTCCAATCAGTTATAGGCAGAAGACGGACTTAATAGTCTTTCTTTGGTGATATTTCTGGGTATTCATTTTTCTCTCCCCCTCAAGTGTCTATTTTATAATGGTATGCCAGGGAAACCAAGATTCAAAAGACAGCTAAGCATCTTAACATTATCCCCCACTCCCCTTTGCCCATTCCAACCATACCTCAATCCCTGTATCCCAGAGCCCTGTTGTTTCAAGGTTGTGCATACATCATTATTTACCTCTGTCCAACTTAGCCCATGCAAACCCACCTAATTGTTTTTCCATCTGCCTTGTTCTAACATCCCCCTCCCCCTTCTTGGGTATTGCCCCCCTCCCCAGCATCTAAACTATCCTGTGTCTATTCCCTACCCTGTGCTCTACCTTCCTTCCCTCCCCTCACCGCACCTCATACACCCCAGTAACCAGCAAAGAATTCCCTCACCCCTACCCATTAGTATGGATTCTTTTTCCTAGTCTTTTACAGTAATGGCCCTATGCAGTATTTCTCCTTTTGTGACTGACTAATTTCACTCAACATAATGTCCTCAAGGCTCATCCATATTATGTGGTAGCTTACAACTTCCTTGTTATTCTTCAAGGTAGCATAATATTCCATTGTGTGTATGTACCAGTTTGTTTATGCATTCTTCAATTGATGGGCACTTAGGCTGTCTCCATCTTTTTGCTATTGTAAATCAGCACAACTTTTTAGGAAACACGGTTCACACTACGACACCCTTTCTATAACATAGAAGGCTCGTATCTGTGTCTTGTGTCCAAAATGATGGTCCTGTGCTTCAGTATGCTCTCAAGGGTTATTAAGAACATAGATAGTAATGTAGTTGTTGTTAAATGCTGTCTGACTCATAACAACTCTGCATAGAGTTTCCGCAGTTGTAAATCTTTGCACAATCAGAGAGCCTCTTCTTTCTTCCATGGAGCAGTTGGTGGGCTCAAATCACTGATAGGTGGTTTGTAGTCCATTGCTTATCCTACAGAGGCACTGTGCTCCACAGTAATGCAGTAGTTGTAGGGGACTGAATACAGTCAGTCGAATATTTGCAGCATTTTTTTTCCCCTATGCAATTATTATTCTGCTTCATGAATCTTATTTCATTGTATTTGAAACCTTAGGTCATTATTACAAGATGCCAGGGCGCTCAAGTTCAAGTTCAACTGGCTTCATCTCCTTCAGCGGTGTTGAGTCAGCTCTCTCCTCCTTAAAAAACTTCCAGTCCTGTATCAACTCTGGAATGGATGCAGCTTCTAATGTTGCTTTGGACCTTGTGGAAAGTCAGAGTAAGTAAAACTTAAAAACTTCTTTCTATGTGTGTAGTTTGAGGTAACATTCTGTGGTTGCATTAGTCTTGGACACTCGGTGTGGCTCACCTTTGCATTATCTTTGGGACAGTCATTGATTCCCTCTAGGCATATTTTTTGTTTTTGTTTTTGTTTTTTAGGCATATGTTTTTGCATCTTGTTCTCATATCCCATAGTGTTGATTTATTGTCTTGAGGGTGAAGTGAGATGAATGATTTCATTCATGTGTATTCTGCTAGAAACCTGTAGGCAAAGGCATGAGTGAAGGTCCCTAAATGCACTGTGAAATGGAGCCGACTCAACAGCATTTCTTTTGTTAAATCCTGGATGATAGCCAGTCATTAATAAATGTAAGAAGAAAGACCTGTGCATTGAATTGTGGGGCAAAGGTAAGTTTGAAAGTCTGTTTGAGGCTGTAAGTTTGAGCGAGATTAAATCACTAATTCATCAACTAAGACAGCCAGAGTTATAAAGATGAATCTATGTGTTTTCCTTCAAGCTGTGCTTAGTCTAACAGGGATGTAAGACACATATGAGGGAGCTTACAAAAGTTCATGGGAAAAATCTATTATTTCGTAGTTCCTTGTCCATGAACTTTTGGAAGCCCTCTGACATTGATCATTGTGTGCCTATAATGTGATGCTTTGCCCGGGAGTCTGAGCCTCATTCATGGAAGTTTTTAAGCCGAAGCGGAGTGTGGTGAGTCCAGTTGTAGAATGGTAACCCTCATGGCCATACCGAGCATGGTGTGAAGTAGCAGTAATCAATTAGGAGATGATCTCAGCAGCTCAGGTGAAAGGAGAAAATCCCTTGCACTAACAGATGCAGTGGAGGGTTTGCTTTGTATGGTGCATGCTGTAATGCCGGCAGAGCCTGGGTGGATACCTTGGCTCCATCACTTACTATCGTGGTGGCTTTGGGCTAATTCTTAGCCTCTGTGTGTCTCACACTGCTCATTGGTAAAAGATAGTGCAGCTGTGAGGATTCAGTGAGATATACTTAGCAGTTCTTACAGCAGTATGTGGCACTTAATGAGTGTTCAGGAAATGGTAACTATTTTTTATGACTTAAATTTTTATTTTATGATACTTTACATAAGCAAACTTTAATTTAGGGAGCCCTAGTAAGGAGCCCTGGTAGCATAGTGGGTTGAGAGTTGGGCTGAAAACCACAAGGTCAGCAGTTCGAATCTACCAGCCGCTCTGTGGGAGAAAGAGGAGGTTTTCTGCTCCCTCAAAGATTTACAGCCTCAGAAACCCTATGCAGGGTTGCTGTGAGTTAGAACCGACTCCATGGCATGCCACCACCACCACCAATAAAGAGCCCTGAGTCCTGGTGCGGTGCTATAGGATAAGCTCTGGACTAACCACAGGGTTGGAGATACAAACCTACAAGCTGCTCCTGGGAAATCCTGTACAAGGTCACTGAGTCAGAACCGACTCAACAACACTTACAACAGTAAGGAGTCCTGGTGGCACTGTAGAATAAGCACTGGACTGCTAACCACAAGGTCAGCAGTTCAAACTCATCAGTCCTGGAACCTCTCTACCCCTTAGTCTCATGAGGATGCATGTAGTCTTTGCTGACTCTTAGGATTGCTCAATTCCATTACAGCGCAGAATGAGCTTCAGTAAATTTGATTGTAGTGACCACCATCCATGGCACACATGGTGAAGCACTCGACTACTAGCTGAAAGGTTGGCAGTTCAAACCCACCCAGAGGCAACTTGGGAGCCAGGCCTGGCGAAGTGCTTCTATGAGGTCAGCGTTGTGAAGATCCTGTGTATGGGGCACAGTTCTCCTCTGACACTCAGGGAGTCACCTGCATTGACAGCTCCCAACAGCTAGCTAACCTGTTTCACTCTGCCTGTCTCCTCTTTGTCAGTATAGTATGAAATGACTGCTCACAGGAGATTCCTGAGCCTCGAAGAACTGGAGTAGTAGTGATGTACTTCTGTGTTTGTTCTCTTTCCTACCCGTATACCAAGGCGGGTGTCCCTACTCAACATTCTAGTTCATTTGAAATGACCCCGTCTGCCTTGTTAGGTTACATACAGCATATGGTCTGTAGGCAGTTAGACTTTCACTACCACTGTGTTGTTTAGGTCTTTCTAAATTTGCTAGTATTGTAGTATAATACCTGCTTTATTTGACCTAATTGGGAAATGAAATGTGTTACATGAGGTTTTTTTTTTGTTGTTGTTTGTTTGTTTTTTAAAGGGAACTGAAGCTTCATTTTCAGGTTTTGAAATTTTATTGCCCACTTTGCTGCTTTTTGAAGCAGAATGTACCAACCTCATTGATCAGAATTGTTGTTGTTATCATCACTGTTAAGCCACTGCATTTTTGTGAAATCTTTCCTTTTCCGTAAGGAAGGGTTTACAGCTGACCCTCCCCTACAGTGTTAATGTACCTCAGAGCCGTGTCTTCTCTCTTCTTACCCTAGGCCAGGGCTTGTCCAGGGATGGACTTCCGAGGTTTGCGTTAAGGTTCGGCTCAGCAGTCAAATGAAGATGCAGGTTTCTGGGGTGAGGATTGAAAGCACGTATCAGATTCTTGCTAAATAATTGTGAGTGAGGAATGTTAAGAAAAGGATAAATGTTGTAAGGGTCCAATAGTTGAGAAAACCTTGTTGGGGAGCCTCTTAGGTTTTTTCTTGGATTACTGCTCTTCTCCAGGGACACTAGGGTCACAGGGCAGAAAGAGTTCAGCTACTGTGATCTGGCAGGTAGCTGAAAGCTAGCTGAGGTGTGTCATAATCAGGAGGACCATTTAGCTGAAGGTGTTGCACATGTACTATGTGCTGGACTTGGTGCTGTTTTTATTTGGTCTCATTTGGTTCTGACAGAAACTCTATGAAGCAGGGACTGCCATTATCACTGGTAGATAGCGGAGGACTTTTCCTAAAGTCACACAGTTCATTGGTGGAGTAGGGATTTGAACGTAAGCAGTCTGATTCCATAGCTTCTAACCTTGACCATTACTCCATATGGAACTTTGATTCTGTCTTTTTAATGGTATTTGCAGCTGATATGACACTGAAATGGCATTTTTGTTACAGTGCTGAGATACTAATGCTCCCTGATGCTTTGTTGTTTTTTTTTGGGGGGGGGGGAACTGAAATGAGGTTGTATCTCTGAAGCAGCTCCTGTGGCCCTTTTCGGGTGGTGAGGTTCTCAGCAGCTTGCCTCAGGCCTTGTCATGCTCTGAAGCCGGGCTGCGCTCTCTTGGTTTGACTCTTCTCTCTGTGAAGACATGATGTTCTGGCCAACTCCAGCCAGAGGAAGGAACAGGGCCACTGGGGCCTGTAGCTCTGGCTGTAAACTGTCTATTTCTGCATTTGTTATAATGGCAGGAAAATAGCCCTCTATGGGGTTAAGTGATAGCAGTCAGGTTTGCCGATTCATGTCCAGCGCCCCCCCCCCCCCCAAAAAACAAAAAACCACCCAAAACAAAAACCAAATCCAAACCCATTGCTGTGAAGTCAATTCTGACTCGTAGCGGCCCTCTAGGACAGAGTTGGACAGCCCCATAGGGCTCCAAATGCCAGCCTTCTGGTTAGCAGTTGAGTGCTTAACCACTGTGCCACTAGGCTCCTGCCTGTTTCATGCTGCTGATGGCAGTTCTGACCTCCACAGGTGATACAGTGAGTGGATGGGTTGTAGTTCCTTCATGGCTCCACCATCTTTATTTTCTGGCTCAGAATTTTCACCTTTGTAGACCTGATACCTTTTTTTGTTTTCCCCTTCACTATAGTTTCTACCCAGCCATAAAGCAAAGTCTTTGCTCTGTGACAGTAGTTCCAGGATTAGTGATGCGTAAAAGAGCTGCTGTCAGAGTAGAGCTGACGTGCTCACGGTCACTGGTGGTCCTCACAGAGTAGAGCTGACGTGCTCACGGATATTGTTGGTCCTCACAGGCCCCTGAACTTGTAAATTTGCAAATGTGCAGCATTTAATTTAGTAAATAATTTAGAATGTGGTTTATTTGGGGTAGTGTTCTAGTTTTACTCTCAATGTAAGGTATTTTTAAATGTAAAGATTAGATGGTAGTGGACAAAAATAAAAACAAAACAGTTATGATCACTCATCATCTTGTTTTATGAAAAAGAGGTAATTGAGTCTTTCATGTTAAAATATTTTGAAAATTGCTTCATAATTGTATGTGCCAGCACAACTGGCCTGCCAGACTCTAGACCTATTTTCTTAGGAACAGTCCCCTTCAGGGTTTTCACTGTGTACTTCTCTGCCCAGTGGACTGCTTCTTGGAGGCAGAGCTCTCCTTAAATGGTGGGCTTTCTTTGTAGCTTGTCTCCTGTACTCTATCATAGAATTACATTATTGAATGGTGGTGGTCGTGCTGGTGGTTAGCCGTGGAGTCAATTCCAACTTGTAGTGACCCTGCATAGGGTTTTTAAGGCTGTAAATCTTTAAAGGATCAGAAAGCCTCAACTTTCTCCCGTGGAACCACGGGTAATTTTGAACTTGTGACCTTAGGTTAACAGCCCAACTTGTAACCACTACACTACCAGAGCCCTCTATGTGTTTGAACAGAAGCCATTATGAGAGGTAGGTGATAATGGTGATGGTGGTGGTGGTGGCCACAAAGGTTATAAAAATAACAAGAGATGTAAGAGGCCCCTGTTTATATTTCTTGGATTGATTTCACAACTGAAACCGGTTATAAAAGCATAATGTTATTATAACTCAAATGGAAACTTTAAAAAATACCTACTTCCTGATGATGCCTGTGGTACTGGAGGTAGACCAGGCCAAGTCTACAGAAGTCAGCTCTCTAGAAAGGTGCCCTTCATTGGCTGCTAGGACTGTGTCTCTTTAGACTGTAGCTAGTTCACCGAGAGCAGCCTCTCTGGAGAATATGCATTTAGGGGAGAAAGTGTTTAGTTAAATTATTCCAAGGAGGGGATAAACATTTTCCAAGGAAAACCATCACAATTATTTGGAGCCGATCTTGAATGC